AGAACATTGCCTCTAGTAGCTGAAGCAACCTAATAATTAGCAGGACTAGAAGAACAAATTTTGCATCTTCCTTCTATGAGCTGCTGGAATAAACCTTCAGCATGAGGCAGCCAAGCAGAACGAGCTGCTTGTACGGGTTCAAAGAATAACATTTTGTCTAATGAGTTTAGGATTCACTGCTCAAGGTCTCATCACTGACATCCTCGTATCTCCAAAACGTAAACAGAACAAAGACAGTAACTGTAATAAACAGTAAGATTCAAATTATTATAGTAGTCACTTTAAAGTAATATTCAATTCCTTTCATCCCGAGTATAATAGATGCAGTCCTATATTTGAACTGAAACAGGAACAAAACCAATTTAAAACTTCAGCATGAAACTACATCAACATCCAGCTGCATCTCAGAACCAGTCTACAGAAAATCATGCTCTTTTCTTCTTGCTTATTTTTCCTTCTCTTTCAAAATTTTAAAGCCATAAAAAGCAGTCTATACCCCAACTTCATTACAGAGTTTCTAATGCAAAGAGGTCTTCCTAAAATAAGCCAAGTAATCTAGGAAAAACAAGGCAAATTAAAGGCAGGACCAGCAGAGACGAGACATGCTAACCTGTGGGCCTCAAATCAAAAGACAGCTCAGATATTAAACTTAAGTATAGGGAGGGTAGATGAAACTGTCACGACTTAATAATAACCAATCATGGTAAGCAGATTATTCTACCAGATGGTTGGTTAAACAATATTAGAAAGCAAAAAGTTATATCAACCAGACATACCTTTAGAAAACACTCTCCCGTTCCTACCCACTTGCAATTTGATACGTCAGCAGCAGACACCTCCCACGTATACTTCCATTTCTTCTTTGACAAATCTTCAGCCTCCGTTTTTGACAAGTTGTACTCAACATGTTTACTAAATGAACTGCAAAAAGAAATGATACACAAACTTCAAAATGACAACCCCATGAATAATCACAAATGACGGCATGCCAAACATCATTATAAACTTCACATAAAGAGTCAAAACCATCTATGCATTAATTTATAAAAGTCAAGAATATTGATTGCTCCAAAAATAAAAACTAATGCTCATACAATCTGGAAAGCAAGCTTTTGAAACTTCAAAAGGGTACTATATGTATTATATTGTGCTTCACATACTTAAACTAAATCCCTCTACAAATAAAATGCAAGTCATTTAGATGAAACTTGGTTACTAAGTGCATAGTTTATTCTACCAAATGAAAGGACCTTTTTCTCCAGTTAAACTTCTCACAACATACTGCAAGAGTATTTTCACAGCAAGTCACAAGGTAACAGATAAAAGCACTGATCAAGCCTGAGTTAACAAGTCTACATATTTACTACTTTCCTTTAAGTCCTCTAGAAATTAAATTTAAGTGGTCAATTCTAATTCACACAACCAACAACTTTATGAAGATAGAAACTAATTGAAATTACAAAAAAATGTCACAGCATTCAATTAGACCTGGAGGCAACAGCTGATGGACCACAGACACTCAAGTCATCATCTTGATCTGTGTCAGAGGCTTCCAAGTTATCTTCAGTTTCAGCATCTTCAGTCTGTTCTTCAGTACCAACCATGTCAGGTTCTTGAATTCCAAGTGAGTCATTATCAGTTTCTATGTAAGAAAAAGAAAAATGAAAAACAAGGGTCAGCATGAAGAAATCTTTGTTAATTAAAATAAAAAAAATATGCATGTGTGTTTATGAAAGAAAATCAATTAAGAAAACGAACATGCTGATTAAATTTGATTTAGACGACATGTATGTATGTAGAAAAGAATGCTTAGGATTCTTATGTAATTACCAAAGTATCCACAAAAAAATCTAAAACCTTGTGATCGTTTTTATAGGCTAGAAATTGCATCCACGAAAGAGACTCAAAGAGACTTCTGCCTCTAAACATGCACTCTTAGCCATTCATTGATCAGATCTTGTCTTCAACACCATTTCTCTCTATCTCTTAGAGCCCCTTACAACAAATTTATGGCGTTCCAAAATATATCTTAAGGGCACCTAAGCATTGATGTCCACTTAAACTACCGCACCACATTCCCTCCATGCAAAATTAAAGTGCTCATATTTTTGCAGACCACAACGTAAATAAGGCACACCTAAGCCAACTATAATGCAAAGTAATTAATGATCAAATAACTGATGCAGTCAACTAATGCTGACAAATTGACCAATTCACTCGCACTTGGTGCTACTTAGAAGCCTTCTTATATGATTTTTACTATGGTATTTACAATGTGGTTCCCTTGTGAAGACCTTCCTGCAAAGATGATATCCAAGGCATCATGCCAGACTTGCAAACTTATAGCACTATAGTCATTCTTAATCTGATAAATACCGATAGTCTTCCATATATATTCATTCTTAGATCATCATTTGATATCCTTCACAAACTCTGGACTTCTCTTTGTTTCCCTTTTTTTTTTTTCTTATAAGAGGCTACCGTATCAGTCAAATCTTCTCAGATAATATTGATTTTTCTTTAGCCCAAGACCACCATTCCTATGAGATTGCTAATTTAACAAGTCTACCTTGGAAGCAGGAAGACAAAGGGTTCGGAAGGGAATGGATCCCCACTCCTGCTTCAACATCCCTCTATTCCTGAACAGATAGTGGGCATCACCTGAAGGAGCAAGGTAGCACGCACCTAAATTCTTATCATACATAGCCCAAAAGTAATTGAACCAAAACCCAAAACAGCAGTCATAAAACCACCAAGCTAACATGAAGGGTTGTTCAAAGTGTAAAAATTAGCAACACAGAAAGGGGCAGAACATACTTGCAAACAATTAGGTTAAAAACTATAGACTTATATTAATTGTATGAAGAAATAGTAAGATGTTTCTTACCCTCATCACTATTCTCCTGCTCTGATACGCTAAATGATTCAGTACCATCAGTTTCATCATCTTCTGCAACTTGTCTTTGTTCGAAACAGAATAATATAATAAATTATTAGGCTTCATTTCCTCACATGAATCATAAATTTCTTTTTTTTTCATTTTCTTTACAAATAATTTGCGTGTATGTGTCTTTAAAAGAAAAAGATATTATCAACAAATTGTATATAGTCCACCAAGGGATGACTAAACAAATATATCCATAATCTATATAAAAGTAGCTTAAGGAATATGAAACTTTTTTAAGGAAAATACTTAAATCTCAACTATGTCATTTTTTTTATTATAATTAAAATAACGGTAATCCTTACATAAAAAAGAACAATAATCTCTTTCTAACCAAACGTGTATGTCATTACATATACTTTGACTTTACATAGATTATATTTGTAACAAAATGATTTCGGGCTGCTAATTTTCACAAAAGAATTTTTATTTAGTGTTTTGGTATGGCTGAAATTTCATTGTGTCAGACAAAAACCAGTTATTCATAGATTCTTTACAATGTTTCAGTGAATTTTACTTTCATACTAACAAAATATAGTTAAAAAACTTTGACATAATTTCTAATTTTTCATGTCAGTATGCATAAAATATATTATTTTATCGCATCACATTTAGTAAGAATAATTACCTCATATCGGATTTCCTACCTACCAAAATTTTCAAGTTCCTACTGGTTGAAGGATTATATCAATAAGTAGTATGGTTTTCAATTTTCTTAATTTAATGTAAACATTTTCCAAAGGAAGGGTTTTGGTAAATGTTTGAATTTATTAAATTTATTTGAGCTTTATGTTTCATAATTGACTGATTACGTAATTTACATGCCAATTTCACGTGGAAGGAAAATCTAGTTTAGAAAAACAAAAAATAAAAAATAGAACAATGGTACCCAACTATGTAATCAGTTTGATACAAAGACCAATAAACATAACAATACTAAAATGCATCATGCAATTGGTATCAGTAATGACTACAAAGGTTCATTTAAAGTGAGCTTGCAGAAAGAAATAGATCACAAATAGCACGATGGTTTAAGAATCCAAAATCAACATGAAGTCTCAGCTTAACTATAAGAGTGAACGACAAAAATACCTCCTTTGATAGGCATCAGCAACAGATTTGTTACTTGACCTGAGTTTTGTCAACAACTTATCATACATTGTTGGCTCCTTATAACTCATTTCCTCATAAGCACCACCACTAGAATCTTCCCCAGATAATTCCGCTGAATTCATTAATAAAATGAAATTTAGAATATTAATTCCAATGAAAAGGCTGGATAGTAAAAATCACTATTTTTCATCAACAAGGCATGAGCTCGAAAGGCCAAAGTTCCTAATTCTAAATATCAGATTAACAATTCAGGAACTGACGCACTGTAATGATCAAACCGAAACTAAAAAAACACGATATTTGACAAGTAATGCTAATGAAAATTCTGTTATCAAATCAATTTGAATAGAAGAAATAGTCAAGGAACCATAAAATTAAACAAAACTATGCATATAGAGGGACCAAACGTTCAACATGCCTGGTAAAGTAGGCGAGGTGCTACGAGTAACCTCATGTTTGACACGCTTTCTGTTTCTTGCCACTGCACTTCTCTCAAACTTATCCGGTGTCTTGTGCCTTTTCAATCCTGCTTACAAAAGGAAAACACATAATTTTTTTACAAAATAAATAAAAGAAAATAGAACGATTCTTATAATGTAATGTAGCAGAACAAAATTATAAGAGACATTCCCAAAATCTAGCAGCTTGTTTGCATTATATAACCCCAGAAATATATATATTTATATATGTATATATAAATGGAAAAGAAGAACGAAAAGAGAAAGGGATAGCAAGGATAGAAGAGAGTACCACGTTTTGCACCGAATTGCTTTCCCATGATAAGGCTTTTAATCGTTGCTCTGATTAGTTTTTCTTCTTCGGAGACTCGGATAAAATTTCTCTAACTCAAAGCCAGAGATAAACCCTACAGAGTTGGGGCTTTAGCCTTGAGGGAGGGAGGGTATTAAAGTCTATTTAGTGGTTTAAAAAGAAGTTGAGCTGGACGCTCGATATGCGTTTGTCTGGGACTAATCAGCCATTTAAGTACGGGAATTTTTTTTTTATTATTTCAGGGGAAATCAGCCAAAAAACAAAAAAAAAAAAATTCACGTACCGGACCAACTCACTCACCCGCTGCACCATCGCTGAGACAAAGGTCTTTTCTTTACTCTGCTTCTTAGTTTTCTTTCAATGGGTTTTTCTTTTGAAGCTGTAACTTTGATTTCATGTTTTTCTTTTATGGGTCCCTTTTCCTTTTATTTATTTATTTATATATTTTGCCTATTCAGTACTCTGGGTTTGGGGTGATGTTGTATGTTTTATTTGATTTCAAATTATTCCAGAATAGAATTTAGGAATGGGATCCCATTACAGTGAAGACACAAGATTTTTTGTATTTTTTGAATGATTTATTTTGTCTTTTTTCTGGGTTAATAAGGTTTTGTTTCTTCTGTTAACTTAAATTTGTACCAACTGGGAATCTTATATAATACGCCCACAGCTTGGAAATGGTATTTTTCTTTTGAATATTGAGGTTTTTAGTTAAGCCAAACAACAAGGGATAGATGATATGTTGTCTCCAAATTTATTAGTTATTTTTCAATATTTCTCATACAAATCGTGCGCTTTTCATATTCATTGGCTTAAAGCTGTACGAATTTTATTTGTTCCATCTTGTTGAATATAGAGAACTCATGCAGCTTAATTAGAAAGTAAATGTGAGTTTTCTTCTTTAACCAGGCAGTCCCTGTTGAAGAATGGCGCTCAGGCTGGCCACTAAGAATTTCAGGAGTAAAATTTCGTCCATGCTATCTTCTGCTTCTCTACTACATTCACATGCCACAAGTTTTGGTATCTGTCTACCTCTTTCTTTCTCTACAGAATATATATATGTATTATGTAATTTTCACTATTCGTTTTTTTCCATCAATTGAATTGAGCAGCTTAGAATATCTCTATAAATTTTTCTAAGTCTGAATAGATGCCTTAATACTGCTGCCTGAGATTTTTTGCCGTTTAAAGTGCTTCTTCTTTTTCTACTTTTTTTATTCTTTTGTTTGTGCTGTGGAATGTGGAAATCTGAATTACTTCAGGCAACTTTAACTTTAGATGGAAATGTGACCGAGAGCTATATTATGTAGCACACCAACCCTGAATTAGAGGGTTGATGCTTAATAGGATATCCAATGATGGGTCCATGAAAATTTGGGTTTGGGAAGTAGTTATGTGTTATAACTCAAAGGTGAACAATTGTTCCTATTACATATCTGCTACACATTCCATATCCATAAACCACAGTCATATTTGCTCTTAATTCTAAAACACTTCACCTTATACATGTATTTGGGTTCCTTGAATTATGTTGTTTCATAATCATTGGCTTCTACGGAATGAAGCTTATTAGTGTTATATTTTCAGGATTTAAAGAAGTTCGAGAAGAAGAGAAAAGCCAAATGGTTGGTAAAGTCTTTAGCAATGTTGCTTCAAACTATGATATCATGAATGACCTGATGAGTGCCGGGTTACATAGACTATGGAAGGATAGGTTAGATCTTCTATGGCTCTTTCTACTTATTAGTATTTCCTTTTAGTCATCTGCTTTGCTTTTTCTGCATCTTTTTGTGACTACTGCTTAATTTACCAGACTGGTCTCCAAACTGAGCCCATTTCCAGGAATGAAACATCTTGATGTAGCTGGTGGAACAGGTAGGCTTGCATCCTGAAACAAAATATATATTGCATTTGTTGCAGTGGAGAAAGTGTAGACATTGGAAACAAGAAATATTTTATGGAAAACTGAAATATCTGAGAACTCAAAATTGAAAAAAAAAAAAGAAGAGCTAACTGGTATAATTTTAATAGATAGATGATTAATTTGGACAGCTTAAGTACATTAAATAATACTTCTAGTAGGGTGTCCAGGGGAGTTTGAAGTTGGTTAATATTTAAGCTAATCATCAATGTGAAACTAAGCTCCTTTATAAAAAATTTATCTGTCCTTTTCTCTGATAAAACCAAAACGGGGCACATTTCGGGGTGTCATTTTGCTTTATTCTATTTTCATGATCTATATTGAAATGCACATTCTGTTCTCAGCTTAAAAATACTTAATTTGCAGGTGATGTTGCTTTCAGGATTCTGGAAAGTATTAGCAGCATTAGACGCAGAGCATTGCAAGATCCACTCAATGATGGCTTACAGGAAGAAACTCAGATATACGTATGTGACATCAATCCAAACATGTTAAATGTTGGAAAAAAGCGCGCTGTAGAGAGAGGTGAATAAACGAATAAGCTTGCCATTGAATGAATTACCTAGAGGTGAAGAATTATTCAGGAGGGGAAATTTCTCCCCACCTTTTCTGGATGCCCTAATTCTTTTCTTTATTTCTGTTTTCCCCATTTCTTTGTGCTTATAGGTCTTAGAGAAGACAAATCTCTCACATGGGCACAAGGAGATGCAGAAGCGTTAAGTTTTGGGGATAATTCAATGGATGGTTACACCATTGCATTTGGAATTAGGAACGTTACTCACATAGAGAAAGTTCTTGATGAAGCTTATAGGTAACATTACAAAATTTTTGGCCTCCTTTTTTAATGGTTCACAGTAGCATTTGATCCATGGATCTGCTATATTTTAATTTCCTCTAAGAAATTAAACCAACCTAAAGTAGTTAGGGAAACCTGTTTTATAACTTGGATACAAAGGGTACATTTTTGTCCTTGTGATCAACATCAATCATGAGTTTAGGTATGTCTATGGGCAAGAGAGTCTGAAACTCAATACCTCTTTTACCTTTTAAGCCCTGTTGAACATATATGCATATGTATATATAAATTTCTCACTTTTGGTGAAGTAAACTTTAGAAATACATACTTAGCTGTTCAACCAATGCTTGAAGAAGTAAGGATGTAACTGCCAGATTGTGGGATGAATTCATGGGGCAAACAAATTGCCCAGGAGCATCTATGAATTTGCCCTAGAGTTTGTTGTTTGCTCCAAACCAGTTTAAGTGTTATATAAATTATGAAGATAGCTACAAATTATTGTAAATGAAGTATGAAGTTGACTTGACCAGTAGAACTTGCTGCAGGTTTGGTGCAGGTGTAATTCTAGGTCCATGATTCAGCCATAAATTATTTCTTCTAACTTTTATATCATCCAATAGACTCTGAATTGAAATTAATTATGTTCTGTGTCATAGTTGTGAAGCTGCTTCTATGCAAAGAGATATATTGTTCAGCTGGCTGCTCCTTTTTCTTTGTTCTTGATCTTATAATTCTGAGAACTCACTGCTGATTTTTGTAGATGTAGTCATAATGGTTTCAGCAATAAACTTTTCATTCTTTTCTTTAATTGGATGACTAACCATGAATTTAAATTTAACAATACTTGGTGTCATACTTGTGAACCCACTTGTATGCAATGTGATACCGTTTCATTGCTAGCATTGTTTTCCTGGTTATTTTACAAATAAAAATTGGTTCTTTTGCATAACTGAATGTGGTTTGTGTTATAATTTATATAATGCTAGCTTCTTTCTCTCTCTCAGGGTTTTGAAACGGGGGGGCAGATTTCTTTGTCTTGAACTGAGCCATGTTGAAGTTCCTGTATTTAAGGAATTGTGAGTATCCTTCACAGTTTTCATTTAGATCAGAGCTATTTTGATAAGAAGATTTTAAACATATACCATGAGTAAAAGTGGCTTAGGCAGTGTGAAACCTAGAAACTAAAAGCTTGAGAATCTTGAAAATTAAGCTTGAACAAAAAAAAAGATCAGTTAGATAACTGAAGTTGAAAATAATTATTGATTATAATTCGTAGATTAGTTGTTATTGAAGTAAATGGTATGATTAATGTAAATTGCACGTCAAATAGAAGCTAGTCATATTAAAAACCTAGTAGATAATTGGAATTAATATAAAGATATCATAGTTTATAAGCAATGCCTTTTTATTCTCTTTAGTCATATGGTTGATCGCATTTCTTGATGTCCATGATTTGGTGTCTTAAGACAGCTATCTCTTATTCTCCGATCCCCACTCCACCCCTTCCCCCACCCCCCCCCCCCACCCCCACAAAAAAAAAAAAAAAAAATAAGGTGAATTGACAGGTTGGAATTTATCTAATTTCTTGTAGTCTTCTGATATCCTCATTTTTTACCAAAGTGGTTACTCCTTTTTTCCAAACCACTTAATCACTGGTATGCTTCTCTGTGAATTTTGAAGATAACTCAGAACCACTTGAAGTTTGGATGTCATGTCTCTTGGTCAGTGTTTATTTTCTTTACACTCAACTAGTGCACATGCTAACAAGCTTCAGAAATATAGTAAGAATTTATCTCAAGTTACAGCTGGCAATGACAATCTTGTTTGGTTTCACCATTCATGTGACAAACCATTTCACAGCTAGTCTTAAGGAGCTTCTTTCGACTCTATTTTTTTTTTCTGTATACTTTTCATAGTTTTATCAGTCATGAGTCACTTTAGCCTTATTTAAGGCTCGGTTTTTATTCTCCCCTTATGCAGGTATGATTTTTATTCTTTCTCTGTTATTCCACAACTGGGAGAGCTTGTTGCAGGTGATCGAGAATCTTACCAGTACCTGGTTGAGAGTATCCGCCGTTTTCCACCACAGGTCATAATTTTGTCCTTTATGCCTTATTACAAATTCTGAGTATGCAATTAGTCAAAGGATTTTGTTACCTGAAAAAATGAGTTGCTTTGTAAAGATGGCTTTTCTTTATTTTTAATGTTTGGGCCTCATAATTTTAGCTATAAAATCGGGTTATTGCATCAAGGTGGGCTTGTTGTATTACTAGAAAACATGTGTAAGACAGTATATATGTATTGAAGATAATGATCAAAGTAGATGACTTATCTTGAGCAGTACATGGCTGGAAATTGGTGTAAGAGGTTAGTTGAAAGTTTTAGATTCAAATCTTGCCGAGGGGAATAAAGAATGGAAGTGATAGCAAAGAGCATGACTTCAAATTATAAGTGTTCATAGTTTCTTTGGGGCTTTATCAACGCATTCATGAATATTTTGTTCCTTTAATCGATAGTTTAAAATTGTCACCTCCTATGGTTCTGGATTTTTCTTTGTTATTTCCTTCAACATTTTTTGTACCTTTCCTTGCTAACCAACCCCTAGAAGAGGAATATGTTTAGAAAGTTAATTCATTCATTGGAAGTATTTGGTAACTCCTGCACTGATTCTTTGAAAACTTTTGTCATGAGGGAAATAGAGTGTTATGACTGCAGACAAATAGTTTCTATTGAAAGTCAGCTAAGGGGCATCTAGATAGACAGACATCTCTCCAAAAATTAAGCTTTCTAGATCTTGAAGACAAAATAACTTCCAGTTAACACAGCTTAGAAAACCACCTAGAGCATAAGATGTGAAAAATCTACAAATCTCATTACGAGTGAGTTACTTATTTCCAGTTCGTTATTGACATGATACTAATTCCTGTTTCAATCTAATTTTTCGTAAATAATTATGAATGCAGGAGAAATTTGCTTCAATGATTGCAGAAGCAGGATTTCAGAAGGTTGAGTATGAAAATCTGGTTGGGGGAGTGGTTGCCATTCACTCTGGTTTAAAAATTTGAAGGAATGTCCAGCAATTTTTGGTCCAACCTTTTCAATAATCAATTATGATTCAAATTTTTGTGACTAACTGATGCTGCTTGCTTGCTTCATCTTGGATTAGATGGCATGGCAGATTGTGGAGGATATAAATTTAAGCATGGTGATCTGATATGCATTTTTTCTTTTTTTGTCTGCTTAGGCAAGGAAGTTATTTGTATAGCAGTTGATGTGAAATAAATATTCATCTAAAGTTAGCTTATTGAAATGCAAACTTTAAAGATTCCAGCCTTTTATGTAGGAACATTTTTGAAACATTCCAGCTTTGGGCTGTGTTTTTGGCTTCACTGCTTGAATGAAATTAAAGTTCAAAATCTGCTACATCATGTCTTAGGTTTATCAAATTACTGTGGTCAACTTGACCATGTGATCTAAACTCTATGTTTCAAGAAACCTCTGCTTTTTTCTCTTTGGTTGCATGAGGAGAGTAATTGGGTCTTGAGTTATCATTAACATAATAAAGGATCATTTTCTCTCATCTCATTAATTTTACATTTCTAGTCTTAAGACTTGAACTCAATATTTCCAAGTCGTAGTCTCAAGTTCTATCTATTGGAATGTTTACACAAGAAAATATTGATGATAGAAGACAATACTATCTTGAAGACACATTTCTATTCATCTTTGAATATATTTTTTCAAATAAATTTTGGGGTTATTTGCATTTTGATACATAAATATGGTGATATTATCGATTTTGTATTTAAAAGGAAAAAATTACAATGAACTAGAAAGATAATTAATAATAAAGCTAACAATGACATCTAATCTTAATCATATTGTTTTATTTCACTTTTATGTAGATATTAGATAGATATGAAAAGGACAATATGACTCAAAATGCAGCTGAAGTAGACTATAAAATCCTTTTTCAAACCATTTTGTTAGATATTATTTAAATTTCATAAAAACCTCAAACGTAACTCTATAGAAAAACCTCACTTAAAAGGTTAATAAAAACTATAATGTAGATACAGCAGAATAATAATACCAAGCTTTGTTACGACCTGAAGATGGAAAGGGGGCTATGTATACCCACACAGAGGAGCATTAACAGAGCAAAGTCCACATCAACAATCTACCAGCGTAGTAATAACTGCCATCAACCCGAAAACCTTGGACAGGAGGAGACAAGTAAGAAGCCATACAACACAGCATATCCTGCAGAAAGACCATCACAAAACAGCCAAGATTTGGCATCCATAACAACCAAAACTCTGCCCATTTATATCTCAACAATGAATACCGTCATGCCACAGCATCCTGGTTGGGATGCTCACCATCCCAACACAGAGAGACAACTCACCAAGTTTTGACACCACCAGCCTTACTTGTCATTTTATTTTTATTATAAACTCTCAATACAATTCTTTATATATTTCTAACAATTAAAATAGCAAATACACTGATTATAAACAAGTGGTCCAGGCCTACTGCAATTGCCATGACCATCTTGATGCCCCTTGAATTTAGCTGCACAATTTTGGTCACAGCATAGATCATTGCAAGCAGCACTGCAGGGTCCAATCCCCGCATTGCATCTTTTCTGTTTCGGTGGTGATAAATCATCGCAGTCATACATACATTTGCATCTTGCCACAGTTGAAGACATGTCACATGAACATCGTTTCCCATTCGAATGCTTTGAATTGCAACGGTCATCACAAGGGCCCATATCTTCTTCACATTGTGCACCATTCACCAGTACCGGTAATGTTTTTCCTGTTCAACGCATCATAATGAAACAGTAAGTAAAATACTATAAACAAACTTTTTTTGAGTATTACTCCATTGAGTATGAAAATTATTGGAGAAAAATTCAATTGAATCATATATATATAATTGATGCATGTAAAGTAGAAAAATACCTGAGATGAATGCAAGAAGGATGAGGAAAATACAAAAAGGTTGGAACAACTTGACCATTTTGCTTCTGCTTTCAATGCCTTGAGGCTATGTGGTTTCCAGGATTTTGATGAACTTATAGAAACGAAAAGAAAAGAGAGAAGGAATGGGGTGGTCTACTGCATCAAATGCATGTAATTAATATTGTTTGGAACTTTCTGTTAGCATTAAATCTCTATTAGTTGGTATCTATTATCATAAAGAAAAATGAACTGTCATCACTAATATTACAAGCTAATTATGGATAATGTTTACCTGGCATAAAATAAAGAATTTTATTTTATTTTTGTTAACAGTAGGTCCACAAACCCTTTACATCTCAACTCACTTCTGGAATTTGAATTAGAATTTTAAAAATTAAAATTTTAAATTGACATAATATTTGAAAAAAAAAACCCTCATATTGAATTAGTAACGAATTGAATTCATTACCATCAAACAATAATGAAGAGTTAAGGCTCAAAATTAAGCTTGAAATTCTCTAGAGAATTCGTCATTTTGCCACTTGGTTTTTTATTTTGAAGAATCTCGCTGAATTCTTTTTAAAATTTGATTCTCATTATGATTGTTGCAGTGTCTTATAGTGAAACGAAATAATTAAGCGTTTCGTTTATTTGTTAAAAAATTTTGAATTAATGTGTGACGATAAAATTATAAAAATAAATAAATAAAGTGTGATATTCTAAATGTGGCATGAATATGACATGAAAGTTCATCGTCAATTTTTTTTTTGTTAGGGCTTAATTTACTTGCACTATATATAAAAAATGGGTCATCCATCCATTAGTATTATGAACAAATTACATATTGAACAACAATTATTTGTAGATGAAATTATATCGATAGATCATATCGATAAAATCAGAGTTGCCAGTATTTAATCGGTAATGAAATGACATTAAAGAAATAAGAATGTCCTCATCATTAATAATTAAATATTATGTCTGTAATTTCCTTTATTGATAAAATATTTGAATGATGAATTTATTGACAAAATATTCGACAGGTAATGTTAATTTAGGATACCTTAAATTTGCCAATGAAAATTCTCTCAATAAATTATCATCCGTCAGTGAAACACTTAGCTTTAATAATGACACTTGTTAAGTTATTTTTGACAAATGATAATCATTTTGATAATGTATATTACATTGTTATTTAATAGACTTGTCTATGGACTGGGCTACCCCTCAAGCTTGTCGCCTTGGTCCAACTCAAGTCGACTTCGGATATTATCTTATTAATTAAATATTATTTTTTAATTAATTTTAATTTTAAATATATTTATAAACAGTTAATTATTAATAATATACTATTTTTAATACTAATAAAAAATTTAATTTAAAAGATGGATCGAACAAGAATTTGATTCACGACACCTCTACTACTTACTATTTTTAATTTTTTTTTTGTAAAAACAATCAAATGAACTTATCTAAAATTGAAATTTAAGTTTTAAAAGCTTAGATTAACTTTTTCATATTCATTATGTCTAATTATCATCTTTACATTAACATTAGATCAAATTAATTATCAATTACTTAGTAATAAATGTCAAGGTTGTTTATAATTTTCAAGTGTTAAGATTAGCAAATTATTACATAATCATACGAAGTTGTTCATCACATTATCCTAGTATATAAATTATGGGTACATTACATGCATCTTTAATTCTAATTGAATCAAAAGGGTAAATTGGAATACAAATAGAATCAAATTTAAGAGCTCAAATATAAAATTTTGTGCTATTTAGAATGTAGATATTAATATGCTGATTTGAGACCTTCAATTTATTTTTATATAGATTATCATTAATTTCCATTTTTAAAATTGGATACTTTTATCAAATTTTATATCTAAAAGATTTTTTTTGTTAAATTTATAAAAAATTAGTAAATAATTTATAAAAGTCATTTGTTTGATATCATTCATCAAACAAACAAAATTGTAAATCTCAATATGTGAAAAATGAGCACAATAAATTAGTCATTATACTTAAAAAAAGCGTAAATTATTAAAAAAAATTCAAATAAGTCATTATTGTATTCAATTAAATTTTTATATTTTTATTTTGAGTCAAATAAAATTTTATGATTAATGGTTAACTAATTGTTATTAATCAAAATACTATTTATTATTCTATCATGTGAAGCTAATGTGAATGATAATATGACATGTTAATGTAACAAGATGACGTGATTATGTGATTTTTTCAATCTCCACGTCTGCATTATATAAACATAAAATGACGAATAATATTGTAACTAATAATAATTAATTATTAATTATAAAATATTTTAACAAAATAACATTTGAATCATATGTTCAGCTCAAATGAATATAAGAGTAATACTCTTAATTTGTTATTATTATTATTTTTTATAAATTTATGTAAACCATTGCTATTGCTATTACTCGTTCTTTGCATGCATGAAAGTGCAAAGCAAGTAATAACTTAGGTAGGTTTTATTTTTCGATATTTCTTGTAAATATGGAAGTAAAGTTTTATGTCCCTCCTTATGTAATTTATTTTGTTAATTTAATAAAATTTTAACAGTTGTAGTTAAATTTTGTGAAAATTTTTAACATAAAAAATTATTAATTATAAGAATCTATTTGATAAAAATAAAAATACTTGATTTTTTTTATTAAAAGTAATAGAATGATTAAAATTTATTTAAATTTTTTTTAAATATTATATCAATATTTGTATGCTTTTCTTTTTCTTTCTATTTTTAAATAAAATGCAGTATCGGTTTATAAATTATGAAAGATGTTGTAACATACGGTCTTGCCCACGCGACCCGTAAGACGTGAATCAGTGTGTTATTGTGTGTAAGTTATAACTGGTGTGGGATTTTAAAACGATAAATATCTAATTTCTGTTATCCTCTCCGTCCAGAAACCCTAAACCCTAAACAGTCGACAGAGCCCCCAATCAAGGAATAATCAGGTTTTGCTAATTCTCACCCTTCCTTTCAGTTTATTAATTGGTAATTTTGAATTTTTAATCTCAATAATTTATATCGTCGTTTAACAGTTTTTTTTTTAATTTCTTTTTCGATTAAAGTTTGATCTGATGAAGAGGGCCTTGCCATGGAAGGATGATGAGGAAAATGATTCATCATCTTCTGATGAATCTTCATCATCTAATTCAGACTCTGAAGCTGAAGATGGACCTCCCAACACCAAGTCTAAGAAATCATCTCAATCTGGTATTTTATTCTCTCTTTCTTCCTTTTTTCTTTTCCTGAATTTTTTTCTGCTTTTCCTTCTTTTTCCGTTTTATAATCGAATTCAATGGAATTGATATCTGCCTCGACTCGTTGGTACTTAAATCACGATAAAAATGAAGAATGCTTCTGTGTGTGTATATGTCTATTGGAATATCTCTATCTTCCGTTTAGGAACCACATTTGTTGTTAGATAGCAGAATCATAATTTTTCTTACCAATTTGTACAACGAAGGGACCCAAGGATGTCTACTCATATTAATGTTATCAGTAGTAACAAGACAAAGAAATCTGAAAGTTCACTAATCTTCACACTCGTGCCTACTAAGCAAAAATCTTACCCAATGCTCCAACACATATCCGCACCTGACACCCACACCTAAGTCTGAGCATTATAAATTTTTTCTGTATAATGGCATGAATATTGTACTGATAAGGTTTGAGTTATATCAACTGAAATTGTGCCTGTCAATTCCAAATTTCTCCTTGGTATTTTCTCCTTTGAAATTTATTTATTTTTTGTATTTCTGGCCTAAGAAAAATCATACCTGGGTTACCTTTATTGGCTGTATACGTACAGCAAAGTCTGGGAAACAAAAGAGTGCTGCTTTGCATTTTGAAGCATTGAAGCGACATGGCTATAAGGGAGGGCTATCCGTTCTAAATGTGCCTCCTCCAAAAGAGAAGCCAGACTGGTCTTGGTCTAATGGCAAAGAAGGCCGTGAAACCAGGGAGGTTAAAGAATCTTTTGAAGACAGACAGAAAACAAGAGCTGCAATATTGGATGCAGAGGAGCTGGCTTATGTACAAACTCGAAAAGAGAAACAGAATGTTTCTTTTTCACGGAAGGAGAAGAGGAAAAGAGAACTTGGTCAAGCTAGTAGGGGGAAGAATTATGTTGAAGAAGAGAAGAGGTTGCTAAGGGACCGTGGCATCTATTCTGGTTTTGATTCTTGATCTGTGGTGGTGTGGGTAGGCATGTAGTTTCTCATCGTGTATGTGATGTAGAAGACTTGTAATGTACATGACCTTTTCTCATTCCGTATGGGATCTAGAAGACTTACTATATGGAACCTCTCTGGTGTTAGACATTCGGTTGTAAAATCTATTTGGTAGTTTTTGAGAAAAGCAGGTTCCATATTTGTTGTCCTCTAAAGATGCTTAATGATCTTACAGGACATTTACAATGTCACTGAAATTAACAATGTGTGTGGTTGGTATTTGGATTTAATGGCTAGCTCAAATCCGGGGCAATTGGCTATAACCTACCCAAAACCAATGCCAAAGCATCCCTCTATTGACTTTCTAGATTTGTCCTAGATGGAAATGAACCGAGTGCGACTATATCTTGCCAATGCGAGTCTCATACTGTGGATTTTGTTGTAAGCAAGTTTGCATTAGACTTTGTTGATGTGCTCTCATGTTCCTCTTAAGTGCAAAAGGCTGTCTTTCAGATTGATCATTGGTTCAGACGGTTCTGTTCTAACGGATGGGAATGCTGTTATGAATTCTATCACTTTCTTTTCTTGTGGAATGGTCATAATATAGGTTTAAACGCCAGAAGTAGTTCCTGGTGGAGGAGCAGGATGTCATTGCGGCAAACTTTCAATTCCCTATTGTCTGTTTGAAAAGTTCTCTACCTTTCCTTTCAAGGACTAGGTGAAACATGAACAGGTGTTATGTCCTTTTCATCATTTTAGAGAATAAATAATTCAAGTCTGGGAAAAGTTGCAAGTTCCTTGTATGCTAAGAGAAGGTTCCAGTTATGGATTTTTGATCTTACAATTACTGCAGGACTATTGAGGAAATTCCTTTGTTGCTTCACCAGGAAGTATTCGCTCCTAGATTAAAAAATGTGCCACACCGTTACAGATAGGCTCTACGCTGTAACTTTGATAATCTTAAGGAAATTTCCAAAGCAAAAACAACATTGTCTGTCATTAGAGGTTGTCACCAGAGGTTGCTTGACACTAGTTTTAAATATCTGTTCAAAATTAAGCATCATGCACATCATGTAAGTCCATGACTTTCAGTTTCATTAAGATAAAATGAAGCAATTATCTGAAACATGGTTCTTTATTTCTTAGTCGGGGGACTAAATATTACAACCATTCAAACTAACAGATAAGATAACATAACGATACCAGAACTTTCTCCCACTACACTCCATGGACAGACATCATCTCCTTCATCGTTGCTCTGCAGCTGTGCCAGCTTCTGAATATTGAGGGGATAAGCTTGGGTACTAGATTGACTAGTGTAAGCCTCTGTTGCAATGAGCAAATTCCAAGCGTCCGAAGGATGGACTCCATCCCAGAAGACGTACTGACTTCGATCGGTGCATGGCTCTGAATCAGGGATGCAAAGCTCTCCATCACTCCCTACTTGGCAGCAGCTAGCATTCGTCACTGTAAAACCTGGAAACAGATAAAAAAGAACAATGGAAGAAAACTTTTTAAGTTGTTCATTGTATGATGAAAGTTCCAATATTCTGTTGTATTGCTGCAACAAGAAGAAAAAAGAAAAGAGGGCAACATTACCGAGTGAGTTTGCAGTGTCAGTTCCAGAAGGATTTAGATAGGTAAATGTAGCATCGGTTAGGTTGCTATTGAGTTCATCAACAAGTGATATAAGCCTCTCATTGAAAAGCTGGGCAGCATTGTCCAATTTTTCTACGCAGAGAGAGCCATTCGTTCCGTACACCGCTATTGCATTTGGAGTACAGCCTATCAAACCAATTCCGAACAGGGCAAGCATCCTTGCTCCATCATTGTACAGCGTCTAGTGGTCAGCAAAGAAACAGCAATCAGGCGTGAGAATTCTTACATCAATATAGCAACTTAAGCCCCCCCTCCCCTTTTTCTTCTACTATTGAAACCTTTATTTGCCGTGAATATTGTTCAATGAGGTATGCAGCATATTGGTCTGGAGTGTAAAACCGGCTTGTGTTGTAGAACTCCGGTATGAAATAATTGTTGAGGTAGTCATTGCTGCCGATTTGAACCGCATATATGCATTTGCTAAGAAGCTTTGAAGCTGAACATTTTCCCAGTATCTCACCCATTGTTGAGATTATAATTTGGTGGTTGCTTAGCTGCTTGTTCATGCTTATTCGATCACCCTGCTCAGTATAAAGACAGGAATAGCATTTTTAGATGTTGACTCCATTGAGCTACCGACTTTTTTTTTTTTGTTTATTTTTTTAAAAAAGAATAATAATTAAGTGAACAAGGGCGTTGCAAGATGATGAGGTGCAAATTTATTGTCATTGTGACCCCATGACTACCGCATATGATTACCAGTTGTTCTCCAGTTTCATTGAGAATTCCTGCCGAACCAGATGCATAATTCACACCTTTGAGAATCTCTATGCCTCTTGCAGTGGCAAACGGAGGGATAAATTCTTCGAAATCCAGTAGTTGAACTGTCATTGTATTATATTAATACAGGCTTTGTATTACATTAAAAGATGCAAGTAAATATAGTTCTATCAAAGACAGTTGTTATATAGTATCTTGTACACAGAGGGAAGAAAAGTCAAACCAATGATATCCTGCATGGTTCGGCCATTACTAAACCTTCCGGTGGGTCCTCGAGGAAAATCGATCCCATAAGGCGAATAATTTACTTTGGCTGTCGTCGCAAGGTTGTTGTTGTTTCCGTCATCCGACAATGAGTCCCCGAAGATGAAGTAGCAGGGCACCTGCGGCTCTGCATTAGCGCAGCCGTGAACGTTTGTCGCTAACAAAAAGGAAACAGGCAGCAGCAACCATGGCTGAAACTTAGATGCCAATGCCATTGAGTACTAAACTGAAGAGAGCAACAAAATGAGATGAAAGGTAGAATTACAGAACAAGTGAAGCAGAGAAAAGGAAATATAAAGGGTGAGAGAGATGAAAGGTAGGACCAAAGAGGAAAGGTAGGTTGAGGCCAGCAAGTGAGGGAGATGGTTTGGTTGGTAACAGTCAGAAATAATCAACAGGAACCACGTACATATGCACGAGGAAGACGAAAGTGTTGAATTATAAAACGTGACTGATATATATATTAATATCTGACCGACACTTTTTGTATTTGTCTGGTCCTGATACCTTCTCCTCTAGCTTTGTAAGCAAAGCTTGCAGGCCTCTAATTTTTGTGATCCTTTCGATATTTTTGATATTAATAGATTATCAATATTATATTATTCGTGTTGCATTTAAATGTGGTGTAACTATGTTAATTCTTTATGAATAATTAATAAATATTTAATATTGTTTTATTATATTTTAATTATAATTGAAAAATATATTTATTAAATTATTATTCTAATAATTGGGATAAAATATAATAAATTTGAATCATGATTATCTCTGTGATAATTCATATCTTAACAATAAGTGATAAATTTTTAGAGTCAATCATAGATGTATTTCAACAGAATAGAGATATTGTCTCTGTATAATAAAATTACTAACAACATATTTTTCCTAATCAAGTTAGTTTTTCTGTAAGTTTGAAAATAAAAAATATATTTTCCCTCATTTTTTGCGTTTTGGAGATACCATCAATAAGGCATAAAGATTTTGGAACGTGCAATTAAATATGGAGAACTTTGGTAGTCACTCCGTAACAACAAAAACAAAGAAATCATTATGTAGCTGCTGCATGCATGTTTGGAATATGGAAAAAGTTCGTAAAGCAAGTTTTCGAGTAAATTCTCCAACAATGATATTGAAGCAACATTTTGATTGTTTTCATCCTTTTTTGTACAGTATATTTGTATGCTTTGTTATGTCATTGTAAAAAATATTGACCTTTTTCAAAGAATTTATGATGAAAATTTATTTTATTTATATTGACGGAATTTTTCTAACGGCTTTGGAAATCCATCAGAAATAATTTTGATGCAAAAAAATTAATCTAGTCAAATGTTCCAACGGAATTTTCGATAAAAATTTTCAACGGAATAATTTTCCGTTGGAAATCAGGCAAAACAGTTTTGGGAAAAGAAAATTAATCCTATCAAATTTTCCAATGAAACTTCCGACTGAAATTCATCGAAAAGTTTTGGGACCTGAACTTTCCAATAGAATATTTCGTTGGATAATGCTGTCGGTATTATTATTTTTTAAAATTTTTAATTCTAAATATACTAATAATTATTTTAAAATTTATTAATGCTTTACATTAAGAAAATTAAATATATGCCTAATGCGTTTAGTGGCTTTAAATATTTAAATATGTTTTCCTTTGGTTATTATTTTTTTATATATTTTAAAAACTTATAATAGAATTACAAATATTAAATAACAGTTCCAAATTCAGTAACGTTATTTCTAAAATGTTTCTAAAACTAACATAATAAACATTTTAATTTTATAAAAAGAGATTACAAAATCTAATATATAATTAAACAAAAAATAATAATACTTTAGGGTCAATACTATAGTTAATATAAATTAAGAAGACTACTATATATATAGTAAACTTATTACTATATTTAAAATATATTAGTTTATGATATGCATATAAATTAGAATCATTGTAATATAATATATTAACATTTGATATATATACATATTAATATGTTATAATTATTAGACCTATATATATAATAATAATATTTTGTAATAGATAATATTATGTAAATATATATCACTGTATAATTATATATGTATTAGTTAAATATAATTTACATATATCTAATTTATATGTAAGCATTAATATAATTTAAAATAAATTTTATTTATATGATTACACTTAATAATTTTACAATAAAGTTATTACCTTAGTTTTTATAATATATATTGTTTACAATTAGTTATTAATTATACAAATTTTGTAATTATATATAACATTATAACATTATGCTTTACATTGATCATATATTCTTATTGGGTAATTCTAGTGCTACTTTGAGTATGTCATCCTTTGCGATTAATTTCATATTATACTTTTAATAATTGAAATCATGGGTATTTATAAATATATAACTATATATAGAAGTTATACAAAAATAATAATATTCGATGTTCTAATATTAGTTAATATAAATTAAGAAGAATGATAATACACTAATTAATTAATAATATACTTAAAATATATTAATTAGTTTGTTATATGTACATATACAAATAATAACTCAT